AAAACATATTAATTTATAATAAAAAATTTTAATATGATATTTTCTTAAAGTTTTTTTCGTTTAACGGCTTTAATGCATTTTTGATCCGGTAATCTTAAACAATTATTTTCGGGTATATCGCAAGTGCATTTTCTATAAAAGTGATGCATGACAATAAAGTTTAATATATATGTATGTATGTTTACTAACTATATGCAGTAAATAAAAAAATATTTTGCATGGAGCATCTTTTCAGCTAACCCTCATTGTGTATCATTTGTTACTCGTTACTTTTTTCACCGATTTATGTAGAAACGAGTGTATAAAGCGCTTAGGAGTTAGAGGGACAAACAAAAATATTTTCGCTTGAAGTAATCATTTTTCGGCAAATATGATATGTACAAGGAATTTAACAAAAAGCGCTGTTCCTGATCAAAATTTAGCTTTAAGTTATCTTAATTCTTTAAGCATTCAGGATAACAATGAAGGTGGTGTAGTTAATAAATCTATAAGTCCCAAACTGTCTACATCAGCTAGGCCATTATTGAATAGTAATACTATATCTGCTTCTGAAAGAATTCCCAGAAAAAGAAAATTAAGAGAAGATTTTACAGCTGTAGTTAAAAAATTAAAAACTGTAGAAAAAGTTGTTGAAGAAAAAGATATTATAATAAAATTAAAAGATGAGCAAATACGTTTAGGTAATGAAAGACTAGTGAAGTTAGAACTAGAAAATATAGAATTGCAAAAAAAACTTTCTGAATGTAAGTCATTAAGTAGTGTAGCAGAAAGGTCTGAAGTTGATTTTTTAAATCAAATTTGTGACAAACTTCCACAAAGTTTGCGGGTATCCCTTAGAAATAGCTTAGAGAACTGCAGTCGTCTACCAAACGGCTGCAGATATAATACGCAATTAAAAACTATCGCCTTAGGAGTTCATTTTCTTTCACCCCTAACTTATCGACATTTACGTCAAAGTTTTAATTGGCCATGTGAACGAACATTACGAAATTTTGTTCAAAGCTGGCCAAAATCACCTGGTTGTACTCATAGCAGCATTAAGGCCTTGGAGTTGCAAAGTCGTGGATTTACATACGAACAGAGATTTGTTTCGATATCCTGCGATTAAATGTTTTTACGTGCTCACCTCCAATATGATAGGCACAATGATAAAATTATTGGCCTTGAAGATTGTGGTGACGAAGACCGTACTTGCAAAATCGCAAGTGCAGTCTTGATTTTCATGGTTCAGGGTATCGGTGGACAAAAATGGTCCCAACCTATTGCATATTTCCTTGTAAATGGAAGTTGTAAGGGTGAAACTTTAAAATCTATTGTAATTGAAGTGATAAAGCAACTTCAAGGCATTAACTTGTATCCCTGCCATTTTGTGTAGATGAGCATCATCCCTTTTTTAAAGTCAACGATGAAGATATTTTCTTCTTTTATGATGTTTCCCATTTGATAAAGAGTACAAGAAATTGTTTAATAAGTAGTAAAAATAAAATTATTTTTAATAATAAGGAAGTTAAATGGGAAAATATTACCCACTTTTTTGAAGTAGATTCCAAATCAAGTGTTAGGTGTGCGCCACGATTAACAATAGAGCACATTAGGCCAAATTCTTTTCAAAAAATGAGTGCGCTTTGCGACTCAAGTTTTTAGTAATACCGTTGCTTCTGGCATGAATGCCCTGTATAGTTCTGGTTTAATGAATTTAGTTTCTTTCACCGCAAGCACTGCTGAATTTTGTCTTTTTTTAAATAATCTTTTTGATATTTTTAATTCAAGCAGTATGTATAGCTTAGGTTTGAAAAAAGGCTTTAGTGGTTCCATTGACCAAATGGACTTTTTGAAAGAAGCTGAAATTGCTTTAAAAACAATAATTATCAAAGACGCCCAAGATAGAAATATTATTAATAATTTTTCCTTTATTAAAGGATGGCTTCTTAATATTAACAGCATTCGTTGTATGTGGCAATATTTATCCTCGAAAGGTTTTAAAGTCATAATGACTAGAAAACTTTGCCAAGATGTGTTTGAGCACTTTTTTGGGCAAATACGAAGAGGAGGGGGGAATGCTAAATCTATAACATCAGACTTATTCATAACCCTCTTTCAAAAGGGTTGGGGTCTTAGCTATCTGAATGTTGTCAACAAAGGCAATTGCGAGGAACTTGTAGATTTTGATTGTCCATCATTCGTAGCTTCTATTAGTGATCCCAGTTTAAATAGTTGTAATGAAACTGTTGAAAATGTTTGCAATGATACGTTAGTGAAAGATACTTATTGGCAGTATACGGAATCATTTTGTTCACCACAAACTTCATTTCTACAAAATATTAGTTTCAGTGTCGATATTGATTTAAGTGAAGAAACATTTCTTAAGGTAAATGCTTTTACCTACGTTTGTGGTTGGATGTACTTAAAAATATTTAAGTCACATCATTGTTTAGCTTCCCTACCTTGCGCAAATAATGTTTCAAGTGATTACCTCTTCACACTTGAAAAAGAATTTGATGGTTGCAGCTTGGTACATCCTCCTAGCGACTTTATTAGTTATATTAGAAGTTTAGATGAAGAATTTTGTACTTATTTTGAAAAAAATTACTCTAAGGTAGGTATAGCTCAATTTTTATATAAAAAGTTGGCTAACATTCGCCCATATACTTGCTGCCAAAATTGCAAACCAGACAGTTTATTAATTCTTTTCATAAGAATGTGAATGCATTTTATTTTAAAATTTTTTAATAGGGACCTAAGTACCCCTGATTTCAGGCAGAAGCTTCTAAGGGTAAGTCATATGTGAGTTCCTGATAAGCATTTTCTTTGTACTCTTTTCAAATGAGCACAAATTCAAATTACATAGATATTAAAAATTTTTTAATAGTTTTTTATTTTCAAATATATAAGGAAATATATCTATAAATGCGACAGCCTTTCGATTTAATTAACTACATACACCTTCACTTGTGTTTTCTGAATAAAAATTCACATAATTTCATATTATTATTATAAGAATATTTTTCAAAATTAACTGCTATATCAAAATTTTTTTTTTTTATTAAGTAAAATGCTATAAATTTGTTTTTAATTTTGTTTTTAAATTTTAATTTTTTACATGTAAAGATATTATATAATATTTATAATTACCCAGTACAATTATCTAGTCCCAGATTTTAATATCATATTGAACATATTTTTAGTACATTTTTCAAAAAAGACAATTTCTTTTATTTAAATAATATTCCTTTTGTACGCAAACAATATATATTGTTTTAAACAAATGCCTTTAATAAATTTGTATGTTTATTAAATTATTGTTATTATTACTTCAATTCTTAAAAATAATAAATTATGAGTACAACTTGTACTTCTCTTAATTAAACCCAGCTAATATTCTTAAATACTTTAATATTTATTAATAAATATTTTTTATAAATATGATGGTATATTAAAAATTTTTCAATATTTATAAAATACTTTTTTACTAAATTTCATATAAAAATATTTCTACTTAAAAAAATCATATAAATATGTAAATGAATTCACCACATACATTTGAAGTAAGTGCGCGTGCTTCCTCACCCATCAACAGATTTATCGCTACTGATCAGTTAGAAATGCATACAAACTAAAAATACGTACCATTTATCACATAAATTTACAGCGAATGCGCGCGCACCCTCACCCATCAATAGATTTTTCAGCACTAAATTTGAAAAATTTGCCTATGCAGAGAAATATAATTCATCATTCACCACTTGAGTGTTGCCGTATAAAAAAGTAAATTGGTAATAGCTTCGGTTTTTATTATTAATTACACATCATAACAGCATTTAATGATATTATTTCAATATTATATTAGAAATAATGTTTTACACGCTCAAAAAATATTTCAGAAAATATAAATCATTAAATAATATATATTCAAAACTGTTTTTTCTACTTTATAAAAAAATTCGCTTCTACAAAAGTTTGTTGCCGAACATAATAAATCAAAATACTTTAAAATTTATATAAAAAAATAAATTAAAATTATGAATTTGCTGAATACATATTACATGATTAAGCAAACTAAACTGATTCAAATTGACTGATTTAATTGTTTATATATTAATTTATATATTTATTTATCATATGTTTATGTTGTTACAATATATATTCTGTTTATGTGATGTGATATTATTAACCAAATAAGGTACGCACTAGTTTTTTATATTATTAAAAGGAAGCATATGATAAGCAAGTAGTAAGAAATTAATATACTGCAAACCCAAAAAAGGATTAATTTGATGTTATCGTGGTAAAATCACATGTATTCCATACGTGTGCCAAAATGTTATAAATTTCTCTTCGTTTCGATGGAAGTGGGCGGAGTTTCCGTTCTTGTAAAAGTATTCTTTGATAGTAAGGAGACGCGTGCACATTTTTAACAAAAAATATAGAGATTTAAGTAATTGTAATTGAGAACGTATAATTGAATAAATAAAATAAAAGTTTCTGAACAAAGAAATATAACAATATTGATAAATTAATATTAATTAAATATTAATGAATTTATGTTTATGATTGAACATTCTGCCGGCGCATAAAATTAAGATTAAATGTTTTGGTTTCTGAATGTAAATGCTACCAATTTCTTCTTCTTCCTGTATGAAGTTATCACGTATAATATTATTCCAATAACGACAATTATTATCAGTTATTATTATATATGATTTTTTAATTCAGTCTTACTTGTTTTTAGCTTAAGTATTTCATCTCTAATTTCAGTCAATTCTTTGGTGATTTTTATTTCCCATGATTTCAGTGGCCTTAAATATTTATATTCTATGTTTTCTGTTAATTTTGTTATTGGTCTGTACATCTCTTTGTCATCTGTTGACCAATGATCATTTGAGGCTATTAGCGCTGTTCCTTTTATTCTTGCTTTACAGCCTGTTTGCAGATTTAATATCCCTTGTTTGGGTAACTGGAGAATTTCGTTTTTATTTGATGGGCATTGTAAGTGGGCTGAGCTATTTTCGATTGTTTTGAACAACCATCTGTTGTTGCCATTTGTTTCTTTTTTGTAATGTTGTTAAATATTCATGTTTCCATCTGTTCCAGAAATCTTTTTTCATTTTTTGTATGTGGTTCCAATGATCGAGTTTGCTTGTTCTTTCGTCTGTAGTTGGTACTGGGTCGTCCAACATAGGACGTCCTATTAAGAAGTGAGCTGGAGTTAGTGCTTCTATATTTTCTACATAATTATTCATGGTACAAAGTGGTCGAGAGTTTAGTACTGCTTCTATTTGGTGCAGAAGTGTCGTCATTTCCTCATAGGTTAACTTTGATTCTCCAATTGTTCTTTTTAGATGATGTTTCATTGATTTGACACCAGCTTCCCATATACCACCGCAATGAGGACTAGCTGGAGGAATAAAGTGCCATTCAATTTTGTCTGCTGCTAATATTGATGCTACTTCATTATTTTGTTTGATAGCTAATTCAAATTCTTTGTCTAGTTTGGTTGCTGCTCCAATAAATGTTGTACCATTGTCGGAGTACATATGTGCACTTTTTCCACGTCGTGCGAATAATCTTTTTAATGCTGATAAGAAGGCGTCAGATGTCAAGTCGGTGACTGCTTCTAAATGAATTGCTTTTGTGGTCATGCATATAAATATTGTTATGTATGCTTTATATGATTTTTGCCCACGACCTCTATAACATCTCATTTGTATTGGTCCAGCTTAGTCTATTCCTGTATGTTCGAATGGGTAGTTTTGTGTTACTCTATATTTTGGCAGGTTTCCCATTATGTGCTTTGCGAAACTTTGTTTAAATCTAACGCATTTCACACAGTTACTGCATATTTTCTTAATTATTTTTTTAATACCTATTACCCAGTAGCGTCTTATAATGTATGCTTCCATTACCGAGTTTCCGCCATGAAATGTTTTATGGTGTGCTTGTTCAGTTAGTTTTCAGTTAGTTCGCTGTTAGTTAGTCTTCCTCCGACTCTTAATATACCTTCTTCATCTGTAAATGCTGCTAATTGAATAATTTTACTTCCTCTGCTGATTTCTTTTCTTCTTTAATTAATTTCAGTTCTGCTGAAAAATGTGTTTCTTGATGATATTTGATTAATATAGTTCTAGCCTCTTGTAATTCTTTCTTTGATAAGTATTCTGCTTGATTTTTGTTTCTTCTGAGTCGGCTTATGAATCTTAGGATATATACTATGATTCGTTCCAACCTAGTTAGACTGGAGTTTCTTTCTATAAGTTGTTCTATTATTTCGATCTTTGGCTTGTAACTGTTGTCAGTATTTTCCCTTCTTCTATTTTTTCAGGTTTTGGCCAATCTTTTTCTTCTTTTGTTAGCCACGAGGGTCCGTTCCACCATAATGGATTATATTTCAATTTGGAAGGACTTATTCCTCGGGAAGCTATAACTGCTGGATTTTCTTGTGACTTTACATGTTGCCATTTTGTTTCAGATATCCATTTTTTTATATCTTCAACTCTTGTTCTTACAAATTTTTCTTTATTTTTAATATTTTTAATCCAGCATGGGGAAATCATTAAGTCACTTTAACAGTATATTGTGGCGTTACTATTCAATATTTGTGAAACTCATATCATTAGTTTTGCAAGTAAATGCGAACCACATAGCTCTAATTTTGGAATCGTTTTTTTTTTTTTTATCGGCGATACTTTACTTTTAGCTGTTAGTAATTTTACAGATGAGCCAATTTTTACGTATATGACAGCCGCGTATGCTGCTTCTGATGCGTCGCAGAATCCGTGAAATTCCCAAGTTTTTGAATTTGTAGTTCTTATCCATCTTGGTATTTTTATTTCATCTATGTTTTGCATATTTTTTTTATATTTATCATATTCCTTTTGTAAATCATCATTGAGCTCATCATCCCAGTCAAATTTATTTAGCCATATTTTTTATATATATATTTTAGCTGTGACTGTTACTGGTGTCAGCCAGCCTAATGGATCGAAAATATGTGCTATGTTTGAAAGTATCATTCTTTTCGTCCATTTATTTATATTTTGCATTTTTATAGTAAAATTGAAGTTATCTTTTATTGAATTCCATTTAAGTCCTAAGGTTTTTATTGATTCATTTTCATGTAACATATATTGAGTATTTTTATCTCGTTGTCATCTGGTAGTTCTTCCAGTATAGATTCATGATTTGACATCCATTTCCTGAGCTGAAATCCTCTAAGACTTAAAGTTTAATTAATTTTATTTATTTATTTCGATATTGAATTGACTCCTGTCATTAAGTCATCCATGTAGAATTCTTTTTTTATGCTATTTTTTATATCTTTATTTTTTTCTGACTCATCAGCAATTTGATGGAGTGTTCGTACTGCTAGAAAACGTGCAGCTGTGGTCCCATATGTAACTGTTGTTAAACTATATTCCATAATTTTTTCTTTTGGATTTTCTCTCCATAAAATTCTTTGGTAATCTTGGTCTTCTGGTGCAATTTTTATTTGCCTGAACATTTTTTCTACATCAGCTGAAGCAACGAATTTTCATAATCGCCATTTCATAAATATATTAAATATATCTTGCTGTAATCTTGGCCCAGTCATCATTTTGTCGTTTAAGCTTTTATCATTTGTCGATTTTGCTGATGCATCGAAAACTACCCTTAGTTTTGTAGTGCGACTTGATTCTTTTATCACTGCGGTAGGTAATATTTTCCTATTGTATTATCTTTTACTTCTTCCATATGCCCTTTCTGCTCATATTCTTGCATGAATTTTATGTATTCAGTTTTTTTCTTATTGCTCATTTTTTTCTCTTGGTTAAAGAATCTTGCCATTGCTTGATTTCTAGATTCACCTAATGTAGCATCTTTTTGTAATGGAAGTTTCACTATAAATTTTTTGTCGCCGTCTATTTAAGTGGTGTCATCATAAAATTGCATACATATTTCATCTTCTGCTGTTTTTTCATTGATTGTGTTATCTGTTTCTTCTAGTTCCCAAAATTTTTCTATGTTTTTTGTTGTAATTGTTGTCTTACTTCTTTTTGCTGGTTTCTCTAATACTTTGCCTGATATTATCCATCCAAATATTGTTTCTTTATTATTTTCGCTGCCTATTATTAAATCGATTTGTTTTGTTTTCATGAATTCAGGATCGCCAAGTTGTAGCTTTTCCACTGATTCTTATTATAGTCTATTGATTTGTCTGGCAATGGTCTAATTAGCTTGTTCATGACTATAAACTCTTCTTTCATATTTATATTATTAATTTTGGATTTTATTTCCATTATGACCTTTGAATTTGCTTGCCCTACTGAAGTTTCAGCAAGCCCAGTTAATTGAATATCGGTTTTTACTTTTTGTAAACCTAAGATATGAACAGCTACTTCTGATAACATTGATGCTTGAGATCCTTAGTCTATAAGCGCCCGTAGTTCTTTATATTCTCCTCTAATTGTAAGGTAGAAATCACAACACGAAAATTTTTCGAATTCTTTGTATTGTAACGACACTTTGGGGTGACGTTCAAAAATTTTTAGTTTTTGCTGGGGTATCCTCAGCCGTCGTCCAGAGTCGAGACAATATATTTATATTTTCGTTGAGACGTGGTTTTAGAAGAAAAGAACGTTGATTATATATGTAAATTATATATTTTTATTTATTTCATAAAAAGAAACTTATTATTAACAAAGTATAATTTAATAAGTTATAATTCACTTAAGTATTCCTTTTGCTTAAGAATTTTAAAAAAATATGTGGATCGCCGTTGACGACAGGAATTATTACTGCTCAGTGTATTACTCGTTAAAAGATTTCTGGCAGGACAGAGTGACGTCCTGGGTCCCCTCCTCTGTTGTTGTAAAAAAAAACCGATTACTCTGTACTGTGAAAAAAAAAAGAATCATTTGGCCGAATGAGCCAGGTTAAAAATAATACACATAAGACAAGGATAATTCCTAACTACGTTTGGCTGAAGGAGCCAGGTTTTGACAAAATGTGCCAGAAGACCAATAGGGCAGTGTACTCGTCTTTGGATAAGTAAAAATTCAAGTTCTTGATAAAATTTACCGGAAGGCCGAATGAGCCAGAGTACTTGTTTCTTCACTTGTCAAAAACCAAGTCCCTTATCATATGAAATGTTTCTCCTTTTATACTGAACATACCGGAGGTTTTTGGTGTAGCGCACCGCTATTAATTGCTGCAGTTAACTTCGCCGTGAAGTTGAACTTTTTGTGTTCTATTGTGTACTTCTTGTGTCTTTTCGTGTTTGCTTGTGTTTCTCTTCTTTTACTTCGCCGCGACTTTGAGTATTTACTACGCGTAGTGTTTTTTTCTGTGTGTGTGTGTTTTTTTTCTTTAATTTGTACTTTATTATTTAAAATAAAGTATGTTAATAATTCAAAACAAGGTACGAAATATATATATTGTGAATTTAATATTCTTCAAACCTAAATGTGACAAAAGAAATAATCAAAATAACTGGTGTTGGCGTGTTTAGTTGATTTGTTATTGTCGGAGTTTGTTTTGTTTACGTGTATAAAGAAATGAGTGTTAAATTATTTTGTGTTTTATTTTATTTATATATTTTTAAATAAATATTTGTTTAATAATTAAACGTGTTTTCTGTAATAATTGTTCATTTGTTGTTGTGTTTAGAATTCCTTTACAAGTTTTCCATTCATAAAATTTGTAACAAAAAAATTCATTTTTTTCCGTATATTTTAGGTTCTGCACATTGCATGTATCGATGCCCGCGGCACGTTGGAACCGAGGATCGTAGGTAATGTCCATGTGATTTTTAAATAAACATTTTAATTCAATTTCATATTTTTTTAGCTAAATCCACTTCAGTTTTCTTCACGTGAGTTATTTTTATCTATATTATGTGTAGAGGTAGTAGTTAGTTGACACACAGATTTTATTTTTCGCTTGTTCTTGCGATATGTAGCACAGAAATTTACTGTGAAAATTTGTGTCGTTACAGTATAGACGTCAAACAAAAACTAATCCTTCGATATGCGTTAAACTTTGACAAAATGTATATAACAGTGTTGCCAGCTTGAAAATATATATAATTTACCGATTGGATAAGCGCGGGAATTCAAAAATTAAAAATTAAAGTTATTTTTTGATCAGAAGGTATTTCATCATCGTCAATTATTTCATTGTCTGATTCACCAGCAACATTATCAGGTAGCAAACATTATTATTCAATAGGTAGAGGAGAGTCACTTGGCACTAATAAGTCATTTTTGCTCCAATTATAAATAATACGAAAAAGTTCCTGATTTCTTAGATATCTGAGGCACGACATTATACTTTTATTTACAGATAAAAATTGACGAAAGAACTTTTAGCATGAACAAATGTAAGTCCTACCATATATTATACAATCAAATTCAGACTAACTGAACTAGCAATTTAATATCAAAATAGACTTATTACTATTATGCATAGTAAAAAACACAAGTTCAAGTTAATTAGAAGAGTGTGATATTTATTAGAGATATTACTCTCATTTTATTTCATTACCTTACGAGAAACTTGTATATTGCAGTGTTTTATCATTATAGTATTATGGGACCCAGCGTGTGGTTCACTACATGCCTTTTTTCGCCGAGGTCTGGTGGCACGTAACTGTTACTAAGGCGCC